GGCCCTCGGAGGCCAGCAGCAGCCACACGGTCTGGCCAGACACCCAGCTCTCGGCCAGCGAGAGCTCCTGCAGCTCGAGCAGGGGCGGCCCTGGTGCCGCCAGCACCGTCTCGAACACCGAGTCCAGCGGGAAGGGGATGCCGAGCAGGCAGAGGGTCTGCAGGCGGGGGGCACGGCACAGCAGCGAGGCCAGCGTGGCACGCAGCGCCAGCCCATACTGGGCTGCGAAGACGCCGGTGGTGCTGGCCAGGGCCAGGGAGAAGCTCTGGAGCTGGGGGAAGCCGTGGGGCAGCAGGTCGGTGTCCCAGCGGGGCGGCTCGGCCGGGGTCTCCCCATCGGGGTTGGCGTCCGGCGGGGCGTGCAGCTCGGCGCTGAAGGCCTGCAGGCCGGGGCAGCTGGCGAGCAGGGCGGCCAGGGAGAGCTCGTCCTGGCAGCAGAAGCCGTGCAGGGCCAGGGTCTGCAGGCGGGGGCCCAGGCTCCGCGCCAGCGGCAGCACCTCCGCCAGCACCCGGCCCTGCCACCCGGTGCAGCCCAGGGTCAGCCGGGCCAGGCGGCCCCAGCCCAGCAGCTCCCAGCTGCCCACTGGGCCCGGGCCGTCCCCCAGCCACACGCTGGCCTCCTCGGCCTGGGGACAGACAGCGTGGACGATGGCCAGGTCGGGCTCCTCCACCTCCTCCACCCGCCGCAGGGGCAGGGGGAGCCGGGAGCCCCCCAGGGCAGCCCCCCGCCGCCGCGCCAGCTCCTCCAGCGAGGGGAAGCCCTCGGCGTCCCCCGTGCTGTCCAGCTGCTGCCCGTGGAGGAGGCGGAGGGCGTCTGGCACAGTGCTGTGGGGCAGGAACTCCGGCCAGCAGCAGGAAGGCCAGCGCCCCTGCCATGCTGCCATCCCCCACGGGCTCCAAGCCGCGGGCCAGCAGGACGCGGAGCATGGGGCAGCAGAGGGACCGCGCCAGCGGGTCGTAGGCCAGGTGCCGCAGGGCGCGCGGGGACACCTTCTTGCAGTGGGACACATCCAGTTCCTGCAGGTGCCGGCAGCAGGAGCCCACGGCCGAGAGCACCTGGACGTTGGCCTGTGTCTCCGCCAGCCCCAGCCGGCTCAGCCGCGGCAGCCCCTCCGCCAGGTCCACCAGAACGTCCGCCGACAGCCGGCTGCAGCCGTGCAGGTCCAGGGAGCTCAGGTTCTGCCGCCATCACACAGAGCCCCCTCAGCAGGGCGGGGCGGAGGGGACCCCGACACCCCTCTGCCCCCCTGCACCCAGCCCCGGAGGGCGGGCACCCCCAGCCCCGCGGAGGGCGGGCACCCCCAGCCCGCTGACCTTGCAGCGCAGGGTGACGAGCTGGCCGATGGCGTTGCTGACGAGGCTGGGGCAGGGGCGCAGGCTCAGCTCCCGCAGGTGAGGCAGCAGGAGCAGGTGGAGCGCTGCCCGCGTCAGGCGCCGGCTCTCGCCCAGCAGCCGGATCAGGTCCTGCACCAAGCTGCCGGCTGCGGGAGGGGGCCGGGGGTCAGCGAGAGGGCCCCAGCACCGCTCGCCCGGCCTCCTCCTCCTCGCAGAGGGGGTCCCCGGACCCCGTGTCTCACCCAGGTCATTAAAGGGGCCCATGACGAAGCGGAACTGGTACTTGTCCAGGTAGTTCTCGCTGTAGTCCTTCACCCAAATGCTCTGCATGTGCTGGGCCAGGCTCTGCAGGCAGAGGCTGCCCAGCGCCGGCACCTCCTTCCTCCTGGGCATCTGGCTGCTGTGGGGAAAGGGAGGGTCGGGCACGGCCAGCCAGGTGGGAGCTGCCCACCGGCCCCAGCAGGCGCCCTGACTCGCCAGGGCCTGGCTTTCTTTTGGGTGCGCTTTAACTGTTTCTGCAAAATCGGTTAAGGAAGTCCTGCCTCGGTGCGCGCAGCCTCGGCCAGCCTGGCTGTGCCGCAGCACGGCCCGCGGCCGCTCTGCCCAGGGCTTGTCCGGGGTCAGCGAGCTGCACGGCGCTGGTTTCGGTTCTGCCTGGCTTTGGGCGCTGGCACGGCAGGTTACCCCCGGTGGAAATCCCACCATGACCAGGGAGGACTAACCGGGAGGGAGCGGGACAAACTAACTACCCCAGCAGCCCCTCGCCAAGGGGGACGCCCCACACCTCACCACCACACGCTCCTCCTGGCAGGCAGGTCGGGCACTGGCAGCCGGCCGTGGCAGCACCGACGATGGGAGAGCACGGCACCGGGAAAGCGGCAGGTGCTGGGAAGCTGGGGAGACGCGTTAATCGTGGTGTTAACTGGGACCGGCAACACTCGGGTAACCGCACCGCGCTAGGGTCCCTGCAATTAGGGAAGAAACGAGGGGCTGCACCTCAATGAGGTGCCTAAAGCATCAGCCGGAATAACACTGAATCCCGATTCCTGGATCCGCAAACTCGGGAGACGTCCCAGTGCAGCCAGCGGGCGGGGGAGAGGTTAACTGGGATGGGGAGGGCTCCGGGAGTCCTGGCAACTGGGGAGACTCCCAAAGACTGGGGAAAGGCAAACGTCGGCCCTGCGGGCAGGTCCGACCCCGGAGACTGGGAGAGGACTCTCCGGGAAGCTGCCTGCAGGCACGCAACGGGCGAGCGCGTGCCGGGAGCAGCCGGCAGGGATGGGCCACGGGC